GGGGGCAGTACAAACCAGAAACCAATTTCAATTACAAAGACCAGAATACTCAAGCTACCTGGCCAGTGAGTGCCTTCTCTCTTCTGGAAGAAAGGCCGTATGGGAGGCCAAATTAGTACTAGGGTGCTGGACATAATGAAATAAGAGTGCTGAAATAAGAGCAAATGAAGGCAGGTGGCACAAATGCTGGATGACATAAATACTACTAGCACCCAGCTCCACCATGAGGGCTAAGGCAAGGTCTAGAGACACTGGCTCCTATTTAATCCTTTGTGAACATTCCAAGCAGCTTTCCTAAAAGCATAGATGCTTCAGATGTTAACGGGAATTAATTTGCAAATGAAATAGAATAAACTAAAGTCACCCCCCACCCAACTTTCAGTGAGACTCAGTTCTGGCCTCCTCAGAGGAAAAATCGTACTGCTGCCCTGTCACAAAAGCCATGGTCAACAATCCTACTCCTTACCTTGGCTAACCCAGCCCTGTGAGCTCCTTGAGATTCAATGTAGGCGATGTATCGACTGAAGTTCCGGAACTCGTCTATGGTTGGGTAAAAGGTCATTATCCGAGCACTGGGATTCAGGGTTTCAGATTCAGACGCCATTTTCCCTTCCTGAGGTCACTTTGGTTAGAGAGCAATCTAAAGAAGTACATTAAGGGCATAAAATTATACAAAAGATCATTAAAATTAAACGCTGGCAATGTCAGTGCTGAAAATAGGAACATAATGCAGAAATTCTGAAGAAGCATTAAGACCTCACACCTGGAAACGGGCCTCTAGGAATGTTATTTAAATGAACTGGAAGTACACACAGAAAAGCTTCTGCTTCAAAAGAATCTGATGTATTAAAACTGCAGAGGGCCGGGGATTCAGCTTAGTGGTTTCGACTCCTGCTGCACAAGCGCAAGGACCCAAGTTCGATCCCCAGTACCAAAAAAAAACCCAGCAGGGCCGGGGATTTAGCTCAGTGGTGCTGCTGTCTGCCATGCAAGGGCAAGGATCTGAGTTCGATTCCCAGTAGCCCCCAAAAAAACTGCATGTAGGGCCGGGGATTTAGCTCAGTGGCGCAGTGCCTGCCTCACAGGCACAAGATCCTGAGTTCAATCCCCAGTACCACAAAAAAACCCACAAAAAACCCTGCATATATATTCAAATTCATTTAAACAGGATACTGTTTCAGCTAAAAAGAAAACTAATTCTTAGTCTTACAGTTGACCTGTCCATATCCTGATTTTTTCAAGTTACTCCTGTATTTATACCTTGATAATCGCTTCTCAGGATATTAAATATAATATAATAGGATTGGATTTTAAAAGTAAACAATGATGGCTGGGCGTGGTGGTGCACACCAGTAATGCCAGCACTCTGGAGGCTGAGGCAGAAGGATTACTGCAAGTTCCAGGCCAGCCTGGGCTTCATACTGAGTGCAATGCCAGCTCAGACTGCATAGTGAGACCCTGTCTCAAAAAAAAAAAAAGTAAACAATGCTCTTTTCTAGGGCAATGATTTAGATCAGAATTCAAAATTCCTTAAAAGTTACCTTGGCTACAAAATCACAAAGTTTAAGAGTTAAAAAGTTGCTGGTCTAATCCCAGCACTCAATAGGCTAATTAAAGCAGGAGATCACTGTGAGGTTCAAAGCCAACCTGGGTTACAGAGTAAACTGAAGGTCGGCCAGAACTATATAAGGAGACCTTTTATAAAAAAAAAAAAAAAAAAAGTGTGTTGGGGGGGCGGTTTAGCTCAGTGGAGTTCAATCCCTGGTACCAAAAAAAAAAAAAAAACGTTAAAAAGTATTTGATATTGGCAGCATAACTTACAGGGGTTTTTTGTTTTGTTTTTGAGACAGGGTCTGGCTTTGTAGCGTGGCTTCTGCCTCAGCCTCTTGAATACTGGGATAACAGGCGTGCAGTACCACACCCAGCACAATTTCAAAACCCTAAGATCAGGCTGGGGATTTAGCTCAGTGGTTCCACCTACCTGGCAAGAGCACGGTCCTGAGTTCAACCCCCCCCCCATACCAAAAAACAGCAACAAAAATCCTATGGTCAAACTGTTCTCATATCTAAAACAAAAATACAATTTTAGCAGTATTTAAACAAGTTCATTTGCACTGTATGCCCAGAAATCAAAGGACAAAATTTAAATAAGCAATAAACTGGCAATACAGGGTAAACTTCATAACTAACTGCAGAAAGTAAAATAAATACAGTACCTGATTTTTTTTAAAAAATGGAAACCTCAGGGCCGGGGATTTAACTCAGTGGTTTTGCCGCCTGCTGTGCAAGCACAAGGACCCAAGTTCGATCCCCAGTACCAAAAAAAAAAAAAAAAAAAAGGAAACCTCAGCTAAGTAGGTATATCTCCAGCGCTTAGTAACACAATAGACCAGTGATGGTGAACGTCTGGCACACTGCTGCAGTGGGCTGTTTGTATCATTGAAAGCTCTAAAAGGTTTGCCATCACTGCAATAGACCATCTCAACTGAAAAAGGACAAAGCCCATTTAGAATGTCCTTTCCTCTCTCCACCAAGGGCCCAGGAGCAGAGCTGGGCCAAGGCCCAAACCCAAGGCAGTCCAGGCTCCATGGGAGGAAACTGCCTCCAGCCCACCAATAATCTAGAATAGATCTTGGAGATAGCATGGAACAAAACTAAGGTGGAAGACAAAGCCCATTACCCACAACTCTTAGGCTTCCAATTCCATCCAAAATAAGGTATTTCTTGGCCAGACGCTTTTCATGAACTTTGCATGGCAGGTACACCATTATCACCGTTTTACATACCAGGAAATACACCCCTAGTGCAGTTTCCCTAAGTCTTCATCTCCACCTGGACCTCATGCTTTGCAAGGGCATATGCAAGCGTGGAGGAACCTGAAGTTTAATCAATGGGGGGGGGGCACTCTAAAAAAAAAAATCTTACTTTTGTAAATTTTATAAAAATACATCATTATATGAATACAGGATGGAGGCCCCCAACCCAGGGATTCGAAAGGGACCCTGATGGAGCTTCATTGGCCTCTAGGACTATTCATCTTTCTGTGCAAAGGACCCAGAACAATGCACGGCAGAGTAAGCACTCAGTAACTGTAGAATAACTAATTTCCTCCCTCCTCGCCACAATTGCTACCCCTCCCTCTACTCCTAGCCCTCCCTTCCCCAGGGCTATTCCGTAGGGAAAGCTCCAGGCTCTTGACACCTCTCCCGCACCCAGCAACAAAGCCTAGTGGTTCAAGAGCACAGGCTCTACAGTCAAAACTCTGAACACAGGGCCAGTCTTCGCCATTTATTAGCTCTATGACCTTGGCTGTGTGAGTTGGTTGAGTCTCAGTTTCGCCACCTGTAAAATGGGGACCCCAAGCCCCTGCCCTGCAGGGTTGCTATGATTAACTCAGATGATGCAAGCGAAACGCTAAGCACTAGGCCCGGTGCTTAAACATTCCATAAAGGCAGCTGCTACTAACAACTACTTCGAACTCCCGCACCCTCCACCTGCAGCCGCTCCCGCGCGTATCCCTCCAAAGACAAATCGATTCCCAAGGTCCTCGAACCTCACCTCATTAACGACCACCTCTCTGGGCCCCGCCGCCTGGGCGAGTGGGGCCCGAAGCTAGGAAGAAGAAAATAAGGCCCAGTGGACCTGCTCCCTCCCCCCCGACATCTATTGGCCACAAAGAGATTGGAAAGAGCCAATCTCAGGATGGACTTCATAAACTCCTTCTCCTATTCGCCCAGATACACGCCCATCACTCGACCCAGAAAGAACCACCCCCCACTTCCCCTCCCCCACCGGAGCTCACGGTCACGGCTGCAGCAACAAAAAAACTAAAAATAATCCAAAACTCAATGTTTCTCACCTAAAGCCCAAAGCCCCAGCAGGGCTCAGGCTCGATTTCCGCTGTCGCCTCTAGCCGATCCTACTGCTTTTCCACCAGGCGAAAAGACGAAACTCCGCCTCCTTGAGAGTCGGCCTCTGCGCAGCCGCATAGCGTCCCGCAGAGTCAACCAATCCAAAGGCGGCTGCAAGCCCTCAAACTGCCAATGAGCTCGCGCTGCAAACGCCCAAAGTCCGGGAATATCACTCTGGTCAGCCTATGAACACCGACAGGGGCTGTTGCCAGGAGGAAACGCTGTACCACCCGGGACAACGGCCACTGAACATCTGGGCCGAGTCGCAGAGCTGGCCAATCATAGACGGGCATCAGGCTCTCGTAACTAATCAGAGTTGAAAGAAGAGAATACCCAGAAGTGGGCTGGTCGAGTAGGTGGGTCAGGGTCGTGAGGTTTTCATAGGATGTCTGTAACGAAAGTGGGGTCAAAGTTTTCTTGGGGTGAGTAGCCGTTTGCCTGAGGTGAAAAGGTGATAGGGACCCTTTGGGAAGTTTTCGAAGTCTAAGAGCCCTGAGAAGGTGACCATCTTGTCCCACTTTGTCCAGGATAGTCTCGGTTTTTAAAACAAAAGGCCTACGTGGGTAGAATCTCCTCACCAGCCGGCGAGCAGGGCCAGTACCTGAAGGAAGCAGTTCCTGAAGGAGACGGAGCCCTGGGGGTCATTAGAACCGATCCCAGAGGGAAAGTATATTCTTAAGGTCATTACAAAGTAGTTCTGCAGTGAACGGGGATTTAGAGGTTATTAGGAGCAGCTCTTGGGGCGGAGAGAGGGAGTCTGGGAATCACTAGAGGCTCTCCTGGAGAGCTAGGGGGGTTCCTAGAACTTATTAGGAGCAGTTCCTGAGGGGTAGTGAGTCGCCCTAAGGGGTTCTCAGCTTATCAAGGGGCACGTGGAAGGAGCCATTACGGGACACTCATGGATCAAACAGAAATGGCAAATAACCACAAGCAGAGACATTCGAAAATGTGCAAACTTAGCAATGGATGAGTGATAGTGTAGCATCCGGGAAAGAGCTATATGGAGTCAGACCTGTGTTCAAGACCATTCTCTCGCCAGGCATAGTGGCACACGCCAGTTAACCCAGCACTCTGGAGGCTGAGGCAGAAGGATCACCACGAGTTTGAGGCCAGCCTGGGCTACATAGTGAGTTCAAGGCCAGCTTGAACTACAAACCAAGACCCTATCAAAAAAAAAAACAGGGCCGGGGATTTAGCTCAGTGGCACCATGCCTGCCTCAAAAGCACAAGGTCCTGAGTTCAATCCCCCAGTACCACAAAAAAGAAAACCAGTCTCTCCTCTGAGCCTGGGTTTTCATTATCAGTAAAATGATAAAAATAATATCTGCCTTGCAGGATCATCACATCTTCACGATGAGAGTCAATGAATATAGCCAAAAGAAGAGAACACGTGCATGGGTGTGGATTTATGGTATGGACCAATTGTGATTTATTTCCTAGGACTAAGCACAGACTTCAAGAAAAAACAAAAAGTTTGTTTAAAAAAAGAGAATAGGGCCAGGGATTTAGCTCAGTGGCACAGGGCCTGCGTTCAATCCCAGGTACCAGGAAAAAAAAAGAGAGAGAGAAAGAGAATAACCACTGGACAGGAAACCAATAGTGCTTTTTTGTTTGTTTTTGATGTTGGGAATTGAACCCAGGGCCTCACATGTTAAGTGTGTGCTCTACCACTGAGCTGCACCCCAGCCTGGTTTTAACAGTTAAAAGATTTTTCTCTCTTGACCTGCTAGGGTAATATATTAGATAATAGATTATATCAGGTAGCTCATAAAAGTGCTGAGAGTCAGAAGAACAGAACTTGGTGAATACAGCCGGGCGTGATGGTAACCCCAACACTCGGGAGGCTGAGGCAGGAGGAGTACTGAGAGTTTGAGGCCAGCCTGGGCTACATAGTGAGACCCTGTCTCAAACCACCCCGTACCCCCAACGTCAGGGACTATGGTGTTCCCAAACATCCTGATCACTGGCACACCAGAAATTGAAAAAACCCATGCAAGGCAAAGAATTTGCATTCAGATCAGGACTGAAGTGCATTAATGTGGGTGATGTAGCTTTAGAAGTCTGACAGGCAGATATCATGGAGTCTGGCAAGATGGATTCTCCCAAGAGCATGCTAAAAGATTCACAGATGATGGCACAAATCCTCAAGGATATGAGGATTACAGAATATAAACCAAGAGTTAGAAACCAGATGCTGGGGGCCAGGGATTTAGCTCAGTGATTCCGCTGCCTGCCTCAAAAGCACAAGGTCCCAAGTTCGATCCCTGGTACAAAAAAAAAAGCCATTGTCAATGCAGATGTGCAACTGGCAATCCAGTGTCAAGCTGACCAGTCTTTTACCCCTAAGAAATTTTTTATTAGATATTGCAAGACAAAGAAACCAAACCCCTTTGCCATTGATCAGGCCATATTCGGGTCCTAGATTGCCACCTGATCAATAGCTTAACAAGTCCAAACTACAGACTCAAGTCTTTACCAAAAAACGACATCTACTTCTACAGGAAGAATAATGGTTCCAAGGTTGAGTGTTGGTTCAGTTACTAGCAGACCAAGTATCCCCATGCTAGGCACACAAACTCTACAGGCCATGTCTGTTTCAGCCAAAGTAGGGGCTCCAGTGTCCCTCACTAGGCAGAGGTTTATGGTGTAGACGCCTGCTTCCCAGGCCCCTTCTATAAAAGCCTCCATCCCTGCAACTTGAGCAGTTCAGAATGTTCTGATTAGTCCATCATTAATTGGGTCCAAAAACATTCTTATTACCACAAATACGGTATTGTCACAAAATACTACCAATATCATCACAAAATACTACCAGTAAGTAATCAAATGCTTTGAAAAGGAAGTGTGAAGATGATGATGATGATGATGGCTATAATTTGTAGTCTGCCTCGATGCCTGTAACATGTATATGTGGTCATCTAGCCTTTGTACTAAGATTAAGCATGCTGGATGTTTTCAAGTTCTGTTTTAGAAAATGTTAATAGTATTTAATGAGTAAATTTAGACTTTATTATTTTTATTTTTTATTTATTTATTTTTTTGGTACCGGGGATCGAACTTGGGTCCTTGTGCTTACACAGCAGGCGGCAAAACCACTGAGCTAAATCCCCAGCCCCCAAGACTGTATTATTTTTAATTGAAACGTTGGGTTTTCTTTAATAGGAAACTAATGGTTTTTCATCAACCTTCATGTGTAAAAAATAAAGTTCTCAAAAAAAGAAACAATTTGGAGAATACATAAATAACAGAGAAAGCCACTAGAAATCATGTGAAAATTCTTGCTCATGCCACTAAGTATAAGATGCCACAGGTCACCTCACAGACTCCACTGTCCTAGATTGGGTGAAGGACCCAGCACTGCTATGAATACCGACTTCTGAGCTTGCTCTGTCTCTTCCAATGTCTGCCCACAAGGACTGTCAAGCAACTTGTCCTCCACATCACTCGCTTCTAACTGCTGCATGCATATGATAGGAGGGGCCCAAATCAAGTTCTTTTGATAACGCCTCACTTGTCTAATCAATTTGTGTCAGCCTCCTTCTGAAGTCATCTTTCCCTTCCTATCCCTTAAATGTTGATAGGTCTATGGCAATTAAAGTCACAGTTGTGTTTCTCTTTAGCCAAGGGACAGGGAATGATGGGGGGCAGCACAGGGAATGCTCCTGGGGTACTGGTAATGTTTCATTGCTTCATCTGGATGGTGGTTACCCTGGTGTGTTCACATTGATTTGTATACTTAAATTGTGTATAACACTTGATGTACATATTATGCCTTCATTTTTAAATTTTCAAAAATATGTTTTTTAGGGCTGGGGATTTAGCTCAGTGGTGCCACTGCCTGTCTCGCAAGCACAAGGTCCTGAGTTCAATCCCTGGTACACCCCCAAAATATATGCTTTTTAAATCATACTGATGCCCTCATGGCTCCCAATCCCCCACCATCACTACCATTGCGAGAAGTCCAGGGCCTTGTGCACACTCGACAGTGCTCTGCTACCGAGCCATATCCCCTGCCTGATTCTCTTGTTCTACGCTTTTCTTTGATGTTTCTAGTTCTGTAACTCACTAGCAGTATGACCTAGTTCATCTCTCTGACCCTCACTTTTCTCATCACTGAAGTGAAAATAGTACCTCCTTTTCTTGTTTGTGAAAATTCACTGAGATAATGAGACAGTATGGTAAAGCAAAAGTCTCACTGGCATGTAGCAAATGTTCAGTTTACTGGCATACACTGGCTACAGGACCGGGGATTTAGCTCAGTGGTTCCAGAGTTCAATCCCCAGTACCAAAAAAACCCCAAAAAAAACCACTGGCTACAATGATGGATGATGATGATACAAAAAAGCACTTAGTACAGAGTGAAGCAAGAGCTCAGTACACACATTCTTAGGCTTCACTAACCTGTGCATGTCTCAGTCTATACCACAGCATGATCTCATCTTCCCTGAGTGCAGATCTGCATATCTTAGTATTTCTGAGCCCCTCTCTTTGGGTGTTCTACAGATACTCAAAGCCCACATGCCCAGTAGAGACCTAGTTTTGTTTTGTTTTGTTTTGTTTTGTTTTGTTTTGGTACCGGAGATCAAACTCGGGTCCTTGTGCTTGCGCAGCAGGCGGCGAAACCACTGAGCTAAATCCCCAGCTAGACCTAGTTTTGTCCCACAAATCAGCTCTGCCTCCTAGGTTTCTTACTTCAGTAGATCACCCGTCTACCCTATGCCTAAGCCAGAAACCAGTGTGCAACTAGCAACGGCCCCAAGCAATCTGCTACCTCATCCTATACAGTAGACACAAAGCAAGTGTTAGAAAAGCAGAGATTTGTTTATGCGTCCATCTGCCTCTAGTAGGCAAAAAATAACTCAAGAATATCACTCTGGTGCTATGCTGTGGGAGACACCTAGAATCCCAGCTCCTCAGGAGGTTCACTCAGGAAGATTGCAAGCGGGAGCTGGAAGGCACCCTGAGCCACTTGGCAAGACCCAATCTGAAAATAATAAATCAAAGGGCTGGGGATGTAGCTCAGTGGTAGAGTACTGGGTTTAGATCCCCAGGACTGCCAAAAACCAACAAAAAGTTTATGCTGGCTGTGGAAGAACAGAAGACAATGAGCTTCAGAATGACTTGCCAGCAATGGC